ATATTTCAATATGTTTAGTAAAAGACAAAAAAACCCAAACAACAGTGAGTGCTTAAGCAAGTATCAGAACCAAATAATTTCATGTTCACACCTTGCTATTAAATATTTATTTTAGATTACTTAGAAACTTTATATTACTCTCTTTACAGCCCATAGTGACACTAAAGCAGTCATTATGTCTTGTTGTAAGAGGGAATGCTTACCATGAAAAATGGGAAAAGAAAAGAAAAGAAAAGAAAAGAAAAGAAAAGAAAAGAAAAGAAAAGAAAAGAAAAGAAAAGAAAAGAAAAGAAAAGAAAAGAAAAGAAAAGAAAAGAAAAGAAAAGAAAAGAAAAGAAAAGAAAAGAAAAGAAAAGAAAAGAAAAGAAAAGAAAAGAAAAGAAAAGAAAAGAAAAGAAAAGAAAAGAAAAGAAAAGAAAAGAAAAGAAAAGAAAAGGAAAAGAAAAGAAAAGAAAAGAGAAAAAGAAAAGAAGTGAAAATAGATTTTTTTCATAAGAACTAAAGCTCTTATACATGCTTATTATAAAGATTGACGCAGTGTCAAGAAACAACTTTATAAAAATTTATATATAGGGAATAACATGATGATTACATAATTATTACCTGAGAAATATTCAGTACTATGTAATTACCAGTTAGTGAAAAATGTGGGTTCAGTTTACATATACCCTATAGTCACTTTGCTTAATAATAATAATAATAATAATGCAAATCAGAATCAGGACTATATTCTTTTATACCCAGAGTAAAGATTTAAAGATTAAATTGTTAGTACCACATTTATGTTATGATCAACATAGGAATAACACTTATATTTATAAAAGCAGAAAAAATAAATCTTGGAGGACAATGTTTGCAAAGATGGAAGTAAGTAGGTAGTAGCAATATTATATGGTGAGGAAGTCCAAAGAACAGAGGCCATAGTTAGAACGCACACCAGAGAACTCAATTTCTCTAGCATATCAAAAAGATGACTAGAAGGGCAGTCTGATAGCAATGTATAAATACCTTTGCAGATAGAATAAACTAGGTAGTAATTAGTTCTTTAATCTTGCTGAGAAAGTTGTGACAAGAACTAGATAAATTTGAAGAGAAATTAGGCAGAAACATTTAACTGCACAGAAGATGATCCACTGCAGACATTAGACAGAAAAGAGGTGGCTCTTGTTTTTCTGGCTGATGTCTTAAAATCACTTCTGAATGTCATATTTTAGTAAAAGACAAGTATTATCTCAATATTAGGTAACTGGAAGTATTTCAACTGCCCATGATACAAAAGAGGTTAGGGAAAATGATCTTCAGGTCTCAAATACCCTGAAGCTACAAGATAGTTTTGCATAGCACGAGGTATCTTAGCACCTCCTTATGTTCTGCGCTTCATCCTTCTATGGAAACATGTTCACTAATTTTTTAATTTATTTTGCTAATTTGATTCCAGGCTTTCAAGACCCTCGTATGGCTGCAACCTGTGATGTTCTTCTCCCCTGTAACTTTGGTATCTTCTCCCCCCAACTTTTCAGCTGGTAAGCAATTGCTTCAAGATGTTTATGCTGGAAAAAAACTGTTCTCTTTGTCACTTACAGCCTAGAAAGAGATTTATTTTGACAAAGTCTCCTTATCACTCACAAATTATATTTTTTTGCAGCATGTCTTGCCTGTATATTCTTCACCTGTTTGCCTGAACAACAGGAGGTTGTTTCTTATCTCAGATGAATATACAAAATCTATAGAAACCACTCCTCTTCTCTGGGGATATGGTCCATTCTATACCTTACAGCATGACCTGTTATACCAAGGTGACCATTTTGAGCAGCCCAAGTATCTCTGCA